TTTCAATGACTTCCTTTTTATGGCACACTAATTTTTTTTCCTTATTGGGTTGTTCTCTCAACATGTTTCCTGGGTCTCTGCTTCCCTCTTCCTTTTTATCATTAAGTCAGATTATTTACTTCCTTTTTGACATTTTCATTTTACATAGTCACAGTGATGATTCACCAATAATTATAGCTAGCTTTTAGAATTTTATGTTTTGTTGAGAAAGGGCCATGTGCAGACCAGGTTGGCCTCAAACTTGCCATATAGCCCAAATAGCTTTGAACTCAGCCTGGTGTGTCTACCTTCCTAGTGTTGGAATTATAAATGTGTGCCATCATGTCTATTTGATTTCAGTTAACTCAAACAAATAATTATTTATGAGGCCTTTATGAGGCCTCAGAAATCTATGGTTCTTCATAATATGGAAAACCATCTTAAGAATGTTTTATGATTCAGGCATTAGCAAATGCATGCACCAGGGCATGGGGAGTGGGAGAGATACAGAAGTTCCCTCGCATTTTTTCTCTAGCTTCACTCATCTATAGTCAAATATGATCAGAAAACGTTAAGTGAAAAAAAATCTCATAAAATATAATTCACAACTTTTACATTGCCATTCTATCATGATGAAATTTCACAATGTCTTTGTCTGTCCCACTTTGAACCATATTCATTCCTTTGTCCAGCCTATCCCCACTATGTATTCTACCCATAAACAAGTCTTCTTGGCTATCAAGAAAATCTATGTTCCCTTTAAAGCAAATGATGAAATTACAGAAGTGTGTAAGAGAGCCTACAAGAATTTATATAACAATGATTATATACAGTATAGGTACCATTGTTTTACTGTATTAGTTAACATCTCACTGTGCCTAATTTATAAACTTTATCATAAGTATCTACATAAAGAAAAAAAACATGTATAGAACTTGGTACTCTGTGTGGTTTCAAGTGTCACTGGAGGGGCTCACAGGGGCTGGGGGGGTTGTCCTGGGTCCTAGCTTATACTCTAGTGAATGAAAAAGGTAAATGCATAATCAAGGCCATATACTATGTGTTGTATAAACAGAACATAGTAATACTTATGTGTGGAAATCGTGCACAAAGTCTTAGTAGACAGATACAAAAGTAAGTAGTCTTTTGCAACCCAGAAATCATTGTTCAGTATATGTTGATACACACAAGAAAGATTGTTACTCAAGGCAGCTCAAAGTGAAGATGTATGGATAGTAAGGCTTCTTCTAAGAAAAAAATGTAAAATATAAAAGCAAAACAAATACATTAGCTACAACATTGGTGTGAAGTCCAGACACTATTTCAGAAAGCAAAAGTTACATGATTTCTCCAAGTTCAAACTGGAGTAACTCAGTAACAGCTCGACATGGAACTCATTATGCTACTGTTAAGATCATTTTGGTTTTACTTTTTAGCATCAGTCATGTGTCTTGAGCACAAAGTAAGAAGTTGTATTGAGTAATGTGCAATGAAGTAGTAGGGAGTCGTTTGTTTGCACAGACATTGCCAGTAGTTTTTTTAAAGTGTTAATTCTGTTGCCACTGAGCATTGATGGACTTTGGACTTTTGCCAAAAAGGGGGAGGAATAGAAATCATGAAGAGTCTTTTTTAACTCTTACCTCAGGACAGGAGAAGAAATCTAAGTCTGGCAATTGGGACAGTCCTCGGATGAGCACAACTTTTCTGCAAGAACATTATGGGCTAAGAGTAGAGGAAGACAGATCATAAGAACACCCTCATCCCTCCATTTCCTGGTTCTGTTCCCAAGCTGGTGGAGGCTTTTGAGTCTTCAGGGATCATAATTTAGTTATTCTAAATATTTTTTTAAAAATCTTTATAATTTACTGTTAACACGTGGTCAAAACAAACATCCCATACACTAGACACAGCCCTAAAATGAAAAGTGGAAGTAACCCATTACAGACCTCCTTCTGATTACATTCCCCAACGCTGACATTTGTCACAGCTTTCCAAATGTATTCTAGCTATGGCTGGGCAGGCATATACTTTTTTCTTTGGTCCAATAAATTGGAGCTTGAAAACACAATTAAAAAGTACGTGTTTTGCAATTAATGGACTTGGGCTCAAATCTTTGCCACCTTGCATATTGTGTGATTCTATAAAAATTAATTCTTTAGGCTTCAATGTTTTGTGAAGTATAAAAATGGCAATTACTTTGTAAGGTCTGAGGATTAAAACTGGAGTGTGTGTGAATCACTTAATGCAGTGCCAAGTGGTTACCTTTCAATAAACACTATTATTGTCTGTGACAAGTGACCTTTCATAAAGAGATAAAATAAGGAAACGTGTTCCTGTCATATTTTGATAACTTCCGTTAAGCAAACAAATTTGCTCATTTCTTTCAACTAATTATAATCTAAATGGGAAAAAGAAGTTGCTTTTTTATAGAGTTAAAACCCAAACTACATTAAAGTAAATTCTCGGCGATAATACTCCTCCACTTCTCCTCAATCTCAGTATCCACTGAGGCTTAGATAATGGATTCTCCAATTAAAAAACAAAACAAAACAAAACTTTTGTCTCGCGGCGTGCCAAGGACGCTTCCCCCGGGTTTTCTAAACCTGGTGCAGCCTTTGCTTTGTCAAGCAATC